AATATTAGGGCTAGGATAATAATGGGTCACACTTCCTGAAGAAGTCAATGACCTGTTCATTCATTCATCACCAAACCAAAGTCACCAAGCACTAGGCATTATATAACACAATGGGGACACAAAGATAAATCAAACATGGCTCTAGACTCTGAAAGTTTAAAGTTTGATGGAGGAGGCAGACATGTAAACAAATAATTGTCACCACGTGGAACAGCAGTATGGAAGCCTTAGACTCGGCTTGGGTAGGTTGGAAGAGTCCTGACAGAGATGCCAACAGGGGATCTGAATTTTCAAGAAAGAAGAGAAATGCTACCATCCTTAACTCTCTCTAACTACAATAGCTTCCTGAATGATGACCTGACTTCTACCACCGCCCTCTTATGATCCATTCTTCGCACAGCATCCAAAGCGATTTTTTAAAAACATGTGAATTAGATAATGTCATTCTCTTGCTTCACATCCTTCAATGGCACCCCACTGCGATCATAACAAAACCCAAGCTCCTCACCAGGACCTTGAAGATGCTCCATAATCTAGCCCGTGCCTGCCTTTCTGGATCATTCTCCTTGTTCACTACATTCCAGGAACTGGGGAATTCCAGGGGACTGACCTTCCTGTCCCCTGGACACACCACATTCACTGCTTCCTGAGAGCCTTTGCACAAGCTTCCCACCACCTGAAATGCTGTTCCTCACAGATCTTCAAAGCCCTTCAAAGAACCCTTTCCCAACTTTCCAACCAAAATTAGCTTCTTCCCTCCCTAAATTGCTCTCTATCGCATTACCCTATTTCATTTTCCCAAAGTGTGTATTATTATCTGAAATTATCTTGTATGTATGCTTATTTACCTACTGACTATACCTGTCACTAAAATGTAAGCTCCTCGTGAGCAGACACTAGATCTATATTGTTCACTTACATTCATGCCTAGCAGATAGTAAGCAATCAATACTTTTTGAATAAATGAATAACAGGAGAGCAGAATGCCCACCCCAAAAGTTAGGTGAATGTCCCAATACACCAAACCCAAGGGCCTGAGTTAGCCTTTTTTTTTCGTAGGTGCAGCTCACCCATCCAGAGAGTACTGAGTTGAACACAGTGATTATTTTGAGCAATGTCTCCTCACATAATATCCCTACTCCACTGCCATCATCACGTTCTGAATCACAAGAAGTAGACATCTGTGACAGACTAGGTGTCTCCTAGCACCAGAGACAGGCACCAGATGTCTGAAAGATAAAAAAAAGGTGCAGAGGAAGGAACTTCCTCAGGAAGCCGTGGGGAGGCCCTGGGCCCTCAGGCAGAACATCAGCCATGAAAGACTGCGACAGAGTGACACCATCAGACCAGCACTGCAGAGAAGCCAGCCCACGCACGGCCAGGACCTGTAGCCCTAGGAACTGCCAGAGACACTGGAGAACGCTAATATGAAACACTTAATGCTTATGACTTCCTCAATTGGTGATTTCTAATTTCATTTCGCTCTTCTGGGAGTTTGACTTGCCTTTTATGTTGGCAAGTGGGAGCACTAGTGGTGACCATACAACCATGATCATTATCTACACTTTTGGGGTAAGAGCTTGAGATATCAAGAGGTCCAAGCCAACGAGAGTCAACTGGGCCCTTTCTGTAACAAACACCTTTAACCAAAGGATTACATGACCTAAGATGCAAATGTGGCATATTGCAACGAAGTTACAAAAACCATTATACGTAAGGCTCACAAGCAGAATTTAAATTTAATCATGCAATTATGTAGATCTTAAATTGGAGTGATACGAAATAGTTTAACTATGTAGGTGATATATTGAAACGTGATGTCTGCCGTTACTGCTCATCACCAGGGAACAATGGCACCCTGGGAGAGGAAATTAGAAAGAGCAGTTAATGCCCACAAGGCAGGATATTCCAGCCCCTCTTGCACTGATTTCTTCTCATCTAAACTTTCATTCATTCAACGTTTAATGAGACACTACCACTGTGCTAGGCACAAAAGAAAACAAATCCCTGTAATAAACCCCTCAGAGAATTCACAACCTAGCAGGGCAGAACAGAGCAAATACACAGGAGCTATAAAATAAGGCAACCTCAACTAAAGCTTAGAGTATGGGTAGGCAGCCTCTAGATGCAGGTTCCAGGACTCTTTCCTGAAGAAGATAACAGTGACCTTAAAGGATAGGTGGATCTTGACAACAGACAGCGACCACCATCCATAGACTAGGCTAAGTAAGGGGGTACAGAGAGAAGAACGTATACTCAAGGAACAACAACGTCACAGTCTGGGGCACAGGATGTGGCCATGCCAGGGCCTATCTTCTTCATTAGACTTTCACTCAAGGACAGAACTTTTCTTCCCTCCCCCATACTAACTAAGACCCAATTCTCTACATGTGGTAGGCTCTAAATCAGACTTATTAAATAAATAAGAAAATTAATCCAGAGAGAAAAAGATGAAATCTATTCAATTCACGTTGAAGTTGCTGCTGCTATGAGTGTTCTTGGGTTTTCCTAAGAATTTGGGTCACGGTAGAACTCTGTACATATTCAGTTAGGGGCAGATACTTGTATTATCTCACTAACAATATGGAAGCATCCAAAGAAAGTGCACATAGCCAAGAGTAGGTTGTGGTGGCATGTATATCTGCATGTGAATCTGCAAATTTAGAAAGTTGGAGAAAGTTGTTGGGCCCAATACCTTGCGGATGTTAAAAACATGAGAAGACTGATCTGTAGATCGATTCTACCAGTGCTATAATCCCAAAATGCAGAGCTAATACTCTTGTAATATAACTCCAGAAATCTATGAGTACCTAGAAATAAACTTGTTCTCTAATTTCATTTTTAAAAATCTATCTAGTGAATATTTAAATATTATTTTTAAATGATCATGATGGAATTGCAGTATGGTATTGTATAAGAAAAGATATACTGCACTGAGTCAGAGAACTAATTCTGCTCTGCCACTGACGTGCTGTAAAACTGCAGACAAGAAGCTTAACCTTCCTGAGCCTCCGAGCAGGGAGCAAGGAGGCTGATGAGAGGCTGGCGACCAGAGGAGGGCCGAGTCTGTGGAGGTCGCCACACTCCTGTCTGCTCAGATGCTCTTCTGGCATCGCTGTGCCCCACACCTCCTCAGAGCCTCGCTCTGCACTCACATCTGGGGAGGGGGGCAGGGGGGGTGTGCTACTAAAATGTAGATCCTCTTCACAACTTTTACCAGCCTTTGGTTAATGAGATCTAAGGTAACTTCAGATTCTAAAATGTCTTCTGGTTCTATTTTATGGTGTCATCTTTAGGTTTGAGGCCAAAGCCTTGGGAAAAGCATCTTCTTAAGTGAATCAAGCAATGCAAAGGTTCCAAAGGCTGTTTAAAAGCATTAGTCATTAGCAGAACATAATGAGAAAACAGTTAAGGATTAGAATATAGAAATCAAACATTTAAAGAACCCAGAGGTTGCCAAATCATAACATATTTTTTTATGTATATTTTATTAGCCATCATAAGTCCCTTAAAAATCATGTATAAACACTTTTATATATGTATACATACGCTTCTACACACACACACAGAGTCTAATGATTACTATAAGGAAAAAGGACAGCTATTATGAACCTTAATCAATGATCTAAAGTCTGCTCCTCTAAATGCAGTAGCAGCTATAGCTATAAGCTTCAAATGCACGCGTTAGTGTGAATTTCACCCTTGCATTTTTATCAGGGACACATGTGTAGTAAACATATTAACCTTTTGATTCCTACACATCAACATTTAGAAATTTATTTAGGCTAACACGTGGCTATTCTTCACAGAGCTCTAAGGTTTTCCCTGATGCAGATATCTGGTTCTCTTCAGTGTTTACATATTTTATTTTTATAATTCTATATTATTTTTAAAATACATACTCAGGCATACCCATATATTCAGACTAATATGCATATACCCACAGAAACCTACTCTAAGTAAATATCCAAGAAGATATATACCTAATATGGGCAGGAGAGACAGAGAGGTAGATCATTTAGTTTATAAACAATTATGTTTATAAACCATTAAGGACACTCAAAACCTAAACCACTATAGACAAAAACCTAACCATTAGGAAAAAATCCATGTTGCGAGTTTATTGTACATTTTGTTTTGAGTGATTTTTCCTCTGTTCTAGTCCATTTCTGCCACCAATAGCAACTAGATGACATGGAGAGTTCCTTTCAGCTTTCAATACTTGTGATCCACAGATTAAAGATCTGTGATGATTAACACACTCTCTTGTCACCGTGACCTAAAAGCAATCAGACTAGTCCTAAAATACGATCTGTTTTTGCACAAGTGGGGCAGAAAAAAAGAAGAGCTGGGAGTCTTAATGCAGCAAATGTGAATGATTAGTCTATAATGCAATGCTGATGTTAATTTTCAGAAGAAAGGTAAAGTAAGCAGCTCACCAGAATATATAAAGAGAAATGTCGCATGAGGAACTAGAGCTAAATGTGAATCAGAAGTGCATTCTGTCTGCCCGATGAGCCGCTCATTGACCTTCCCTTATAACCACCAATTAAGGCTTCCTGTTAGCCCTGGGCAATTTTCAAGCAAACGTAATGAAATAGTTATATACATAAGAAACTTAAGCCCAAATCTGAGACGGTAACACTAATTTTCTAATAGTGAGGGTGCGATGTTATCCCCTGGACCACCTGGACACAATACAGAAACTTACAGCAAACATTCTCCCAGAGAGCAGAGTTATTACCGTTCCACCAGCGTGCACACTGACACTGCTACAGAGTCCAGCATTAGTAGAAACTTCCCCCAAATTTTACCTCAGTTATTGAATACTGGAATTTGTTTTTTATAAAAAAAGACGGTCAGTATCTTCAAGTCTTGATTCTTTGATAATAAGCCATGTCACAGCTCCAGGAGTTCTGAAGTGAACACATCTCCTCTGGTAGCCCCTCACCCCCAGCCTGCCAGAGTCTGTGCAAGTGAAACCTATGAGTCTGTCTTACCTGTAATCTGACTCTGTCCTTGTGGATTAAAAGGACTTGGTGCAGAGTTCAGGGAGGGCCGTGGGTTCTGAGGCGGGACACCTACTCTCATACTGGGATGAGGAATGCGCCCTAAATCACTGAGGCGGTCAGAGAACAAACTAGGTTTAGAGTCATCAAGCTTCTGTCTGTGCCCTGGAAACAGCAAATCATAAAATAAAAGCATATTAATTAGCTGAACAATTGATCATGCTAAATAGATATGTGAACATACATAGTGGGGGTTTAAGCCAAGGAATTATCAATACTGATATTTATAATGAAGTGTCCATACAATGCCTTCCATTTCAAATTGCTTTATAAGCATCCTCTGGTGGCAAGCATCCTAGTTCTGTCCTATAAGTGGAGAGCTGAGGGTCCCAGAGGGTGCCTCCGAGTCAAGCATCTGTAAGCAGGCTGGGATGCTGGAGCTCAAGAGGAACTCGCTGGGCACCTCCTCCAGCCTCAAAGTGAGGATGGGAAAGGTGAATGCGTACTGGGGTGTGTTTGCTTGTTTCATGAAGGAGAAACCTCCCCTGAAAGAGAGTCCATGCATGTGTCATATTGTCCCACAGTTGGGGCAGAAACAGACACAAACACATTTGTCAAAGGGAAATTTCCATGATGACCATAGTGACTTTTTCTTTTTTATGTTACAACCATACCCTACTGAGACTCTTTTCTGAAAAACGAAAACTCAAACCCAGAACCCCCTTAAGAAGAAAAAACAAAAATATAAGCAAGGAAACTCAAATTCTCAAGAGGAATCTAGATATTTTGTGAAATGCCAAAGCCTGAAAGCATATAATAAACTATGCTAAATCAGAGAAAATGCTTTTTTTATTTTAAATCTAGTACTGTGGTTTTGTAAAAGAAATTGAAAAACAGCCTTTGGGTTACCATGTGAATGTGAGAATCCATTATTTAAAAAAAAAACACAAAACTTTGTCTCTCTTCCAGTTTATTCAAGTCTATGTCCAAGGAAATTCTAGATATTAAATAAATATGCAAATTAAAATATAACCAAGGTACTAAGACTCTTTAAAAACCATCAAATCATTCTTAGCAAAGAGTATAGTATTGCCCTGGTGCAAATATAACAGAAAACCATCTGAATCTTGGTGCAACATTAGGTAAATGTAAATCTGTAGAGTGGTGCCGTAGTGAACAAGCACAATAATGCCTAATATTCAAACAGAAATATACTGTGGATTCCTTCTTCCATACTCCGTACCAGTGAGGCCTCAGTAAGTGGCCCCAACATTTTATTAAAATGTTAAGTAACTAAAGCTGATTCAAAGAAGAGCCATTAAGATGATGACTGGAATAAGAATTTGCCCTTTGAAGAAAAATTAAGGGAATTAGGACTATATCCATAAAAGAAAAAAACCTTGAAGGAGGATTATTAAGAGCCTTCAAGAATGGGAGGGTATATTCTGTGGGTAGCAGGAAAAACACCTCATCTTCCACTTCGTATAGGAGAAGAGGAAAAATCAGGATAGGGTTAAGTTGAACATTAGAATTTCCCAACTATAAGCTGTCTTCATAAGACAAATTCCTTATTTTATTTGCCCCAAAATGTATTTTCCTGTCTCCTTTTTCATTGCCTACCCAGCCCAAAGAAAACAGACAGGAAGCCAAGGCTTGGTAATATGAGTGTAGCTGTCTCCACAGCCAAACATGTTCCAACTAGGCCCATTAACTGAAATGCACCCACCACCCTATTTCCTGCCTGTGTAAGTTGGGGCATCTGCTGTAACAGAGTGACTAAGACTAGGAGAAAAATGACTAGGAAAAACTAGGGAAACTCATTGTTTGTTGATGGTTGTTTTCCCATCAACTTTTTATCCAGATTACAAGCAGACTTTAGACCTCTAAAGGACCTTCAGAAATTACCCAAACAGCTCCTAGACCCTGGCAAGTAAGGTGTTCATAGATGAAGCAACTAAGTCCAACAGAGGTAAAACAACTAGCCCGTGGTCCTCAGCTACTTACTAGCTCGGCCTGGACCAGGATACGGTTCTAGTCCTAATTTACTAAGCATTCCACTCATCATGTGGCACCATCAATGTTGGCATTCTAGCTTTCTCTTCCCTTCCTCTCCCAGGTGCAATGGAACACTGAAAATATCCAGATCGACAAAGTGAGACACCTAAGAACTAAGTCCTGTGAGGTGCCAGGGCTGGTTTTCAACACAAGCAGAAGCAGCAGCAAGGATTCAATTACAAAGTTAATAGCTCACCCATTACCCTAAACAAACTTCCATCAATACATTTTGCTGAGTCTAACTAGTTTCACGATTAGGGAATTATATAGTACTTGTCACAGTTAGATCCATGGAATCCATTCCTCAAACACATACCAAAAAAAAAGTATTGGTGTGGTGTTGACACAGCTGTAAACATTAACAAGAAAGCTTATGGAATTGTCCCTGGAAGTTATTTTTTTTAATAGGCCATATTTTTGGAATGGCAGATTCCCTGAGGGTTAAGGGAGACTACATGATCTTGCATGGTTCCTTTATACACTGGGACTTTATGTGGGCCATGGGTCACAAGGAAATTTAATAAGGTTTGCCTCTGTTTTCTACAGCCCTTTCATTAGGTTTTCATGGAGACTGTATGAGATATGAGCTCAGTATATGGATGTGTGAGCACCCTTTTATTTTCTCTTAGCCCAGAGCTTCAGGGGAGTAATAGGACGTTGTAGGCAGGAATAAAGGACTTGGAGTAGCACTAACAAGTGTGAAAAACTTAAGAGCAGGTGAAATTTTAAAAGCCTCCATGACCTTTTGGAAATTACCTTCAAAGATGAGCTACCAAGTACCTACAGACACCACAGAGGAATTCAGGGAACATCTCTCTGTGGCTGCATGTATACAAAAGATATACCCATTTTCCTTGTAGATGTCTGCCCCTTCATAGCCACCACCACAACCACAACAAAATTCTTACTGTACAAGAAAGAGCAAAGGCTGAACAGGTTCTTTGTCTTTCAACCATGACAAATACCCGCTACCGCTAAACCACATCAGGGTAACACTCACATGATGGGCAGAATGAAGATCCTCAGCACCCAAGCGATCCCTTCAGAAATTGAGAACACAGAAGACAAGGGTGCGCTGACTTAAATCAAAGACAGGGTGCTCTGCCACGGCACACAGAGAAGCAAACCTCATCCAGAGGGCCAAAGAGTGGATCTTCCAAGCAGGAGGAAGGAATAAAGAATGGAAAACTCTTGTGTTTAAGACTATGGAAAAGCTCGGTCCTGGATCTTCTTTTCTAGCTGCACTTCCTCCCTTGAGAGTGTCTCCTCCACCCTAGCTGCGTAAGAAAATCCTCTAAGGAGCTTTGAAAAATATGGATGTCCAGGCCCCACATCGGCTCAATTAAATCGGAATCTCTGGGAGTGGGTTTTGGGGAAAGTTATTTTTTTAAAGCTCACCACATGATCCGATGTGCAGCCAAGGTAGAGAACCACTGCCCAAGCTGATCTCACCGTCCCAAGCACTCAACGCCTCCCTGTTCCTGGCTGAGCCCTGACCTCTGTCCTGAGTTCCAGGTTTGTGGGTCCCACTGCCTACTTGACTCTCCCCTGGGATGCCTCAATGGTATCTTAAATGAATATATTTAAGACAGAATTCTTGATTCTTCTCTCCAAAAAACTCTATTCCTCCCTAAGAGTCCCTCCATCTCAGTAAATGGCACCAGCCACTAAGTTGCTTAAGCCAAAAACCTAGACATTTTCCTTGATTTCCCCTTATCCCTCACTCCCCACACTCAATCCATTCCCAAGTCTTGTCATTTCCATCTTGCAAGTATTATTCACTTCTCTCATTTCCATCGGCACAACCCTAGTCCAGGACCCCATCATCTCTCTCTGGGCATCTGACATCGTCTCCTTTTCATTTCCCATCCCAGAACCTTTCTACTTTCCTGAAATGCTCTCCCCCGCTCCTTTGTATAGCTCACTCCTTCTCATCCCCTAGACCTCAGGGTGAACACCACTTCCTATGAGAAGGTGGAGGTCCTGGCTGCCCACTCTACCCAGGGTAGGTTCCCTCCCTCTTGAGCACACCCTCTGTTTAGTTCCTTTACGGATAATTACACAGTCTGTAATTATCTTGTGTATTTATTTGTCTCCCCTGAAAAACTATAAGTCCCATGAGAATGAGTGCTCTGTCTTGTTTACAGCTGTACCCTCACAACCTAGTTCAGTGCCTGCCATATAGGAGGTGCTCAATAAATATTTATGCAATAAATGGACAAATGAATATTCTCTTCTTTTAGATAAATGTCTTGGTCAAGAGAAAATTTTCTGGCCCAAGATATCATATCACAACACTATCTTTACCAAAAAAAACTCTTCTCTTCTTCTTTGGCAATCTAGTGAATCCAGTGGGCAAAGCCTTTCTTTAGACACCAACCTTTACTGCTGCTTCCTATGGAATTTCCCTGAAGGACAGTCACTTAAGTGAGAGCTTGCTTTCTGGCTTTCTGAAAAAGCCCCATTTGCTCTCACCAAAATTCTTAAGCATTGTTGCAAGTCATTTAGAATCACAGAGCTGAGAAGGACAGCAGAAATCATTTAGACTCTAAATTTTAGAGCGATGTCCTTCTTTTATGGATGAAGACCCTGAGTCCCTGAGAGGGCAAGTGACTTCCCAAAGTCACATAGTTAGTGGCAGGACCAGAACTCAGGTTTTCTGATTGCTGGTCCAGGGCTCCTTTCACGCCCATTGCCAACCAGCTTATTTTAGATTCTAACGGTACAGCATCAGTCATTCAGGGGAGACCACGGTCAGAAGTGAATTTAAAACAGAAAAAAAAGTTTTCAGAACAAATTTCTTTCAAAAAGTTGAGTGTGTTTGGCTGAATATGACCTTTGTTGCAATAAATTCAGGGGCACAAGAAGAAAGCACAATCAAAAGGTCATAGCATTCACACATCCTCGGAGCAAAGGCATATGAGGCTCTGTTAAGTCACTAAGCAAGAGTCCAGCTAATCGTCCCATTCTTCCCCACCCAGCTCTTTTGGTCCAAGGGCAACTCACCCACAATGAAAACTGGTAATGCTGCCATTAGAACTTCTGCTTAAAAAATCATACATCTGAAACTGGTACGCAAAGACTCCGAAACTGTGGTATGTGAACCACGA